AAGTATTATTTCTACTCGAATACTTTGACATGTACATATCTTCCTTGATTTCTCTGCTCCACAATGGAATAGTAAGTAAATTGTATTCAGGTAAGCATACTCTACGATATAAATTCAAAATTGAAACTAGCCAACTTGAGAAACGAAAAAAAAATAAAAATAGTAACTGAAATTAGAAATTGTGAGTCCAGGCTGAGCTTCCTAAGCAATGCTTGTGTTGTAGTCATCAACCTGGATTGCATTGATTATTTACATACTGATTGGTAATAAAAAAGAAAGAGAAAAACAAAGTGGAATTCGTTGAGAGGGAGAGAGAGTATGGTTATTTATTGTATATTATATTTCTTATTATTCGAGTTCGTATACGGTTTTAGTTTGTTATAATTTTGGTTCACATATTCTTTCAGTTCTGATTTCATTTTACGTATATTAGGAATGACTCTGATTTTTATACGGACTAGATTTGACAATTTTGGACCAGAGTATGATATACATTTCTATGTGTGTGTGTAAGTCTACAGAGGGGAACATTTGTTTTCTGCTCAGATTCAGTACGTGTGTTGTGAGTATGACTTATCTGAGAAATGGAGGTATTTTGCATCCATATTAAACATTACTAATTATAGAGTTTTCTCACATCAAACCAAGCCAGTTTTTTTGTAAAGGTCTTCATTTGACTACCTTCTATTTTTCTTAAACATGATTTTTAATATGGTATTTTCCATGACCTTCAGAACGTTTGGTAATGTTTTTGCTGAGAACACCCCATATAATGATTCACTACCTCAATAAAGATTCAGCGAGTGAGTTGTAAATTATAAGTAAAAGCTTTATATTATCCAGATTTCTGATTTGATAGAATTTATTCTATCAAATCAGTCTTTTAATTGTGTTACCAATGTGTCCTTCCCAACGCAGGTGTTGGTCCAGATATACACCCAAATACTTCATGTTGTTGGACATGAACACTGCATAGAGTTTCGACAGAAATACTTATGAACAGTGAGAGTGTTACTTGAAGGTTGGTCTTTTTTGTTGTGGTGAATACAATGAACTTAGTGTTTCCCACATTCAGACTCAGGAGAATTTTGTTGTGCCCGAGTGTTAGAGTTGTAGCGGTTGAAAATGCCAGCGCTGCTCATATAAACTTCGTCTGTTCAAACACAATTTAACGAAAAATCACGCACTTGGTTACTTTCCAGGAACCACTGGCAAAAAGCCGTGCGGCATTCAAAATCTCCTGATCTGAGTTGATAAATTCTTCTGGTCCTATGTGGCTTGAATTTGTGTTTTTACAAAATCCTCCTAACGTTAGTTCTTGACAGGCCTGTTTATATTTTCAAATTTCGTGTTGACGGTTTGGGATTATTTTCAACAGCTCCTAAAGCGACTATTACTTACAACTTCTTATCCCTATTTGATTCATATAATTTTGGCCTCTTCTTTTAAAATGACAATCATAAGGTTTGTCTTCTCTCTGGATATATCTCTTGATACAAATTGCTTGCTGCTTCTGTATTTTCCCTGGTATGTATAAAATAGACTATTGTTACGTTTTTCCCCGTGGGCTGACCAATATTTGACTTCACTGAGTAATCAAACTCAACTTTATTTCACTTTAAATACACGAATATTTTAAGTAAAACTTCAACTAGTATTTGAATGTCTAACGCCTTACTAAATCACTTCAGGTACTGCACTGCAACGTCCTCATGACTGTCCCGATATCTTCGTGGCTAGTCTTTAAATATCGTAATCGAATGTTGTCAAAATTTCTCCGAAGTTCTCTCGAAGTCGGCAGCATTATTCTCCCTGCTTCTCGATTGCCGGGAATTATCGTGCACTCGCGGCTCTTAGCCACGTCACGCCTGGTTTATGGCTACCAGCGGCGGCCGGCGTTATTTTCTTTCGGGCATGATTTACAACACTATCATATTCTATTTTTCATAATTCTCATACTTCATTGCGAATGTGTTTGGAAACTGAACCAAAACCACCAATTGAAGAGCATCTTTACCGCTCAAATGAAAATTCGACAGCTACCAGTAAAGATTTGCATTGTTTTATCGTCGCATCGTCCAAAGCCTACTTGATCAAAGTGGGCGTTTCAAAGTCTACATGAAAAAAACTTAAAGCTGACTAAAGATGACTCTTGCAAAACATCAAGTGTGTTACATTTTTCGAAAGGTAATTTTGAGCTCCATTAATATATGTAGAATATACAATGTCTCATTAAAAAATAGTTTTCCATCAATAACTATTTAATAATGAATTGTACGTAAAAAGTGCTTTGAAAACTTTTGCCGTTTTTGACAAACAAAAAAAACCATAGAGTACCTTGGAAATGAAACTAAAATTGTGAAAGTTAGTGTCAAGATACAGTTTTTCATGCTTAATATTTCAATAAAAAAAAATTGAGATTGATTGAAAAATGCACATTCTACAGGGGTGGTTCCATTTTAAATGGGTCACACTGTATATAGAGAGAGAGAGAGAGAGCGAGAGAGAAAGAGGTAGTCTTTGCTGACTAGTTACGAACAAATCCTTGGAGTTATTTGGGATAGCAGCGAAGCGCAAGTGTACTCTAATAACATTATCTTTCCAATATTTCGACAATGGTTATTGTCATCATCAGGGAGTTGGACATGTAATGGATTTTAACTCAGTAAAAATCTTGACTAAAGAGAGGAATGTTTCTAAAAGATTATTTCTTGAAATGACTTACATTTCGCAATCACGAAATTGTCTAAATAAAAAAACTGACTTGCAACATTTAAGTGAAATATATTCCTATTTACTTTTTATTGACAAAAATTGGAATTCCTTCAAAGACAACTCATTTGAAATTACTTGAATTCATTTATCAACTCATCAACAAAAATTATATAACAGAACTCTTTCTTCTGAAAGCAACTGTAACTCTTTGATAAATTGCACCAGCGGCAAATGCCAAGTCTACTTCTTCTTGAAAATTTTAATAAATTGACAAGTGATGTGTTTCTAACCTAAGATCACCACGTTCATTCTCAAATAAAAAAATTTTATGATTACTCTTTATTTTACGTATATATATATATTGTAGCTTTCATTTAATTCATATGTCTTGTATTTGTACAGTTGTTACTTGTTTTTATCATGATAACAACATTCATATTTCAATTTTAACTCAACTCAATTGCGACCAATCTTACTAACATTGTAAGTAATCATTTATTAACTTGAGTTCTGTATTAATTCAAAGTCTATCATCTTAGCTCCCTGATGATGACAATAACCATTGTCGAAATATTGGAAATATAATGTTATAAGAGTACACTTGCGCTTCGCTGCTATCCCAAATAACTCCAAGGATTTGTTTATACCAATGTGTCCTTCCCAACGCAGGTGTTGGTCCAGATGTTCACCCAAATACTTCATGTTGTTGGACATGAACACTGCATAGAGTTTCGACAGAAATACTTATGAACAGTGAGAATGTTACTTGAGGGTTGGTCTTTTTTGTTGTGGTGAATACAATGAACTTAGTGTTTCCCATAGACTCAGACGCCAGCGCTGCTCATATAAACTTCGTCTGTTCAAATACAATTTAACGGCTTTTTGTCAGGGGTAGGCAAAAAGCCGTGCGGCATTCAAAATCTCCTGATCTGAGTTGATACATTCTTCTGGTCCTATATGTCTTGAATTTGTGTTTTTACAAAATCCTCCTAACGTTAGTTCTTGACAGGCCTGTTGATATTTTCAAATTTCGCGTTGACGTTTTGAGATTATTTTCAACAGCTCCTAAAGCGACTATTACTTACAACTCCTTATCCCTATTTGATTCATATAATTTTGGCCTTTTCTTTTAAAATGACAATCATAAGATTTGTCTTCTCTCTGGGTATCTCTCTTGATACAAATTGCTTGCTGTTTCTGTATTTTCCCTAGTTTGTATAAAATAGACTATTGTTACGTTTTTCCCCATGGGTTGACCAATAATTGACTTCACTGAGTAATCAAACTCAACTTTATTTCACTTTGAATACACGAATAATTTAACTAAAACTTCAACTAGTATTTGAAGGTCTATCGCGTTACTAAATCACTTCAGGTACCGCACTGTAACGTCCACTTGACTGTCCCGATGTCTTCGTGGCTAGTCTTTAAATATCGTAATCGAATGTTGTCAAAATTTCTCCGAAGTTCTGTCGAAGTCGGCAGCATTATTCTCCCTGCTCCTCGATTGGCGGGAATCATCGTGCACTCGCGCGCTCTCAGCCACGTCACGCCTGGTTATGGCTACCAGCGGCGGCCGGCGTTATTTTCTTTCGGGCATGATTTACAACACTATCATATTCCATTTTTCATAATTCTCATACTTCATTGCGAATGTGTTTGAAAACTGAACAAAAACCACCAATTGAAGAGCATCTTTACCGCTCAAATAAAAATTTGACAGCTACCAGTAAAAATTTGCATTGTTTTATCGTCGCATCGTCCAAAGCCTACTTGATCAAAGTGGACGTTTCAAAGTCTACATGAAAAAAACTTAAAGCTGACTAAAGATGACTCTTGCAAAACATCAAGTGTGTTACATTTTTGGAGAGGTAGTTTTGAGCTCCATTAAAATATGTAGAATATCCAATGTCCCATTAAAAAATAGTTTTCCATCAATAATTGAAAATCATTTGAAAATAGTTTTTACACAATTGAATTGTACGTAAAAAAGTGCTTTGGAAATGTTTTCATAGGAATAAGAAATTTCTGACGGAAAAAAAATTACAGCAACTTATCCAAAATGCACATTTTTGAAAAACATGCTGTAACTCTGAAACAGGGATAGCTAACGATATGCGATTTCCACCATTAAGTTTGTCATAAAATTTAACCCTCAGACATTATAGTCATCAGTTTTAATTTATCTTGTTTTGAAAACAGGAGTTTTCCTTCGAAAGTGTTCAATTTGGCCAACTCTATACAAGAGAGCTTCAATTATAACTCATATCTTTTTTGTGTTTCAGTATGTCAGGTCTTCGTATCCAGCAAATGGCAAAGAGAAAGTATGACTGGGGGCTTTGGGCCGCAGAGCTTCTCACTGGGTGTCTGACAGACGAACATCAAGCGCTCTGGTGAAGAATAACGAAGAAACTGCTGCTCAATGTGTTTGAAGTGTTGGTGGTAATAACCTCCGTGAGAATTGTAGTGGTTGAGAATAGCTCAAGTGAACTGATCATGTGTAACTATGAGGGTCAACGAATTCATTGAACAGGGTATTTTATATGTTGAAATGGTGGCGATGCATATAATGATTTGTATAATGGCTATTTAGTCGCAAACGTGACATGTCACGATGTAGTTGCATAAATAACTTTTGTAATAGATGCAAGTAACCACAGATCATTCGGTATCATGACCTAGTTTTTGCTTCCTTTCACACATTCTAAAATGAAATTAACAAAATCTGGGAACGATATGTGATAAAAATGTATTCCTAAAAGTACTGCAGATTCTATTATGAGTAACCTCAGTAAAAACTTGTAGGATCTTAGATCTTCTTGTTTGAAAATGATCTGATTCTGCAATTTTATTTCACATTATTATGGTTCAGGGTACCTACATGGATTTCAGTCAGAGCGAGCTAATGAAAATCATAAAACTACTTTTTAGGTGCAATTGAAACCCCAGACGTAAAATAAATCCATTGAAAGTACTTTTTCCACACTGGAACAAAATACTGTCTCGCGACGCGCGTGATATTGGTCTTAGTCATCTCCTTATGATGCTAACTTGGTAAAAGAAACACGCGTTGAGAGACAGTGTTTTTTGTTCCGATATGAAAAAAGCGTTCCCAATTGATAATCAAGTATCGCTTCTCAATTTCAGTTTATAATAATTTATTGCAATCAGTTAACTCCGGGTATTATACAGGTCGTTTTTTTAACTGATCCCACTATTGTTATCTGGGTAACGAGTAGGATGGAAACAAGGTTGGTTGAATTGAAAAAAGTTTCCTATTTTGGAGAACTTGAATAATCTCTTTTGAATCGAGAAGATCACTTGTTGTTTTTGAAACATTCGCCAAAAACTAGAACTGTCAAATTTCGGATGATTCAAAAAGACGCAGAAATTTCAATACTGTTTCATATTCGTTATGATCTGATATAAATCAGTTTACGATGCGACGTTTCATTCATGCAATGCAGAGTGCAACAGACTGTTGGTTGATACTGAAAGTCACAGCATTCTTGAAATGACCTCTGACTTTATGCCGCCAACTCTCAACTCCGAACTGCCTTATAAAGTACTGTTCCGGAGTGAAGAAGACTGGATCCTCCGGAACAAAGAAATATAAAGAGCAGATAGTTGGTTGGTTTACAGATGAATCAAAAAAAACTTCCGGTTCTGCTGCAGGTGTTTTCAGTCGCAGACTCAGGACAGAGATATCAACTACTCTCTTCGATAGAACACTCAACAGATTGTCTCTGGCCTGGAAGGCTGCCTCCCTTGCAAAGGAGGGGGATGCAAGCAGCTTCATCGGACCAGAACCTATCATTGCCATCGCTTTACGCTTTGCCAAACAAAGCTTGAACACGTAGATGGCAAGAAGATTCATGGACTTCTAGCAGAATCTTCCAGGATTGGCTCACTTCATGTCGTTTACTCACCCTCTGAAGCTAGATACCAAACAGTTGTTGGACTACAGTAGGAATGAACTACGATGTCTAACAGGCCTTCTTACAGGTCACTGTCATTTGAATCATCATATGCAGAGACTTGGACTGTCAGAAGACAGTGTGTGTTGCCTTTGTTTGGAAAATTACGAAAGAGCAGAGCACATACTTTGTGCCTTCCTCGCTGGAGACCTCATCAGGTGTTTAGAGTTGGGCAGAGCCATACTCTTACCATCTGACCTGAAAAATCACTCACGATACAAACTAATCGGCTTCGTTAAGAAGCTAGGTTTATTTGGTCGAGTGTGTATAGGTGTCAGCCACAATAAACCCTTGCGGGTTGCGGTGTACGGTCGAATAGACCCACTCACTTTGGTCCTAACCTATTCCAACCTCCATTTATTCATCAATTTTTGTAGCCATAGAAAAAACAAATTTTGAAAGTATTACGAAACATGAGTTTCTCGACGTTTGTCTCCGATAAACCATCATCAATACTTGTGTAGTTTCAAAAAGGTGGAAAACAATATTATAGAACTCAAAGATATATTACATATATTTTTTGAAAATTTTCAAGCAGATGTGAACGCCCATGCCATGCATTCCAGGAGTTTCATATGAATATGGAAGACCTATTCAATAGCCAGTTTTTATGAAACAATAATGTTTGTTTTTGATGTTTTCTGGCAAATAAAAATAGTGGAGAAAAAATGTATGAGAGTACTGAAATGAATTGATTTGTTCAACGTGAGCCATGAATTAACAGAACATGTATAATTGTCAAATTTACTGTCAAGTACGTATTTGAAAAATGATAATTTGTGGGGAGAAAACCATGAATTTTCCTAATGACAAGAAAGTTGAAATGCTTTTCGTATATGCGGATGTTTGAGAAACGCTACTGGATCTCTAGCTGTGTAAGGGGAATTGTAGCCTGAAGTCCGTATTTGGAAAAATAAACTTCATAATGAAAGGTTATAAACGGAACGGAACGTCACATTGCAAATTGGTTTATATCAGATGATAAGAAATATAAAAACGTGTTGAAAGTACATTTGCCTTTTTACATCATTCCAAATGGAGGCGGTAGAGCGAGAAAACGAAATTCGATAATTCTAGTTTTTGACGAATATTGCAAAAACAACCATTGAAATTCTCGATCTGAAAATACTTAATAGGTTCTCACGATTTCCAAAAGCGCAACAGTGGGATCAGCCAAAAAACGGCCTGTATAATTTTTTCCACGAAGTCACAAGTTTTTGTCAAAAAATAATTTGAATTTTTATTTTCATTCGAATATTTATTTCATCAAATTCTAACAGCTTCAAGGTAATGCTGTCGTAGACTTCCTGCGATATAAAGTGTTATCTCAAGCTGATAATTGATTTGCTCAAGTACGACATAATCACCTCACTCTGAATTATGATGAATACCGTAATATCAACAGTTAATATCTGAGATGATATTAACCGATGAAAATTCATGACGTTGTAAATTTTCTAAAACAGTATTCAACACCACAGCATCTGCTTCCCTATACACTGGCTTTTCGGGCGTCTTCATACTCTACGAACATAACTGAAGAAGCTATTGCATAGTGAAACACGTGCTCAGGTATTGTGAACTGTTTAGCGAAAATCTCACAATAATATGTTATTCATAAAATTAATATCAATTTACAAGTACCTAATGAATATTACTGGAGTTTTTTCCCAACACCCAATCGTTTTTCGATCACCAAGTGATCATCTTCAAGAGGAAGATCAAACAGTTTGATCTTCGACAAATTGGTTTAGACTTTCACGGCTGACGTTTTCAGTGTCATTGCTTTTCGAGTTTGGAAGCCGTGGATTTTTGGAATTTCTTCCTATGAAAAGAAGAAATTCCAAAAATCCACGAATTTCAAACTCGAAAAGCAATGCCACTGAGTTTGATCTTCCTCTTGAAGATGATCACTTAGTGATAGAAACACGTGTCGAAGTGTTGAAATAATGGTTTGGTGTCGGGAAAAATCTTCAGTAATATTCATATCAATTTAAAAGTAGATCAGTCTAAAAATACTTAATTTTTAACCCATCCAGGGTGAAGCTGATGATATTTTGGAAGACGAAATTCACTGGAAACCACACTGACTTCATAATAAAAACTAATGTAAATATCACACTCAAATACTTGATGGATGAATGAATACTCACTTGTATAAGTGGAAGAAATTCGTTATTATTCTAAATACTTCAGCAATATTATGTGGATATATTCAAAAATGTGCTGAATTCACTTATATTGTACATAGTTTTTTATGAGTAAAAATTATCGTGTATTCCTATCAATGTGATAATAAATGGTGTACAATAAATCATGTTTCATTTACAACAACTAATAACTAAACTACTCTCCATACTATTTATAATCGAAAAAAAAAATTCAGTCAGGCCAGTCTCAACTCATTTACACTGTAGGTTAATAGCTATGCTACTCACCTGGCTAATAGCACGAAGGGCGTTGGATAATATCCGACAGGTTTCAGGGCAGGAATCTTCACAGAAGCAATTCCTGCATATGCTGTTGGCGATTCAAATGCCGGAATCGATTTTCAATTATTGCAGACCGGTTTGGAAATTACATTTTTCAAATAATTGAAAAAATTCACGACCCTTCGTTGGATTTGAACCCAGATTTCGAAACATCAGTTGAAAACATCAACGTAAGTAAGTTATCACCGATATTGAAAATATCAAACCACTTGGGTTTGTCACTTGGGTTTGTCAGATAGAAAGACATAAGTTGATCTGATAATGTTTTCTAATCATACGAGGTCACTTCGAGAGTGCTGCTAGATCACCTGATATGACCTCCTTAGACTTTTTGTGGAAATACGTGAAATCTAGAGTAAACGCTACACAACTGCATTCTATTCCAGACCTCGAACATATAAAAAGAAATGCTTCCAACGAAATTACCTACACCAAAATTATTTCACAATGTAAGACATGAATTTGTAAATAGACTTCATCGTTATCAGGAAGAGAATGATGACCATTCTGAATATTTATTGGGATGAAGTGAAGTGAAATTATGGTATTTATTGTTTGCAATTCCCCAAAAAGGATAGGAACGGTTGATACGAACTGAAAATGAGAAAATATCGGATTAGGAATTGAAAGTCCTATTAAATGAATTGTTACAAGGCCCCCTTTTTTATTCGAGAAAAAAGTTGATAGTGCCCTCTTCGCGACGAGCAGTACTGTTGTTTCATTGAAAGATACTAAAGATGACGACTCTCTACGACTGCACATATACTTCTACATATTGCACAAATCAATTAATGCTGAGTACAATAGACTGCTGTTTGACATTGGAAGTCACAGCATTCTGAAAATGATCTTTGATATCATGCCCCCAAGTATCAACTACGAACTGCCTTATTCAGGAGGACTTTCTTTCAGTTTGTGTCTGAAAGTTACTTCTTTGCATGATCTACACATCCATGTATAGAGTTACTATAGAGTTACTCCCTTCCTTTCTTTGGAAGACTCCCTCATCCTTCTTCTTTTTTTGTATCAAGATGGAGTAGTAGGAAGCCAAAAACTTTCTTTCCCAAAAATTAATCACTCCTAAAAAATATAACCCTTTCAATTCATATCAATGTTGTTTCGGGAGGACTTTTTCTTCCAGTTTGTATCTGAAAGTTAAAGTTCCATGCATGATCTAAACATCTTTGTGGAAAGATTGC